TTGGAGCACTATGGTGTGATGAAGGGGTGTACTGTCTCGCAAAAGACATACAACTACTAAAACCGGAAGTTTTCGGGTCAATATTTTTAGGTCTTGGCCCGTTCCATTGGAGTAAGATAATCATGGGTGCAATCGGAAAGTGGCTAATTCCCTCAGGAATTGGAGAAGCCCTAAAAAAGTGTGGAGTCTTTGCAGCTGATGTTGCACTGTCAAGTGTTCTGAAAGGAGGTGATTACATCAAAGCAAAAGATGGTATTAATATGATTGCGGAGTCTATTTTACGCCTCCAATATGAAGCTTTTCTCGAAAGCGATGAATTTATTTTATGCAAGGAGGAAATTAATCTTGACGATATAGAGTTTGACATTGAACAAGTATTAAAAAAAGTCTATGATAACTCTGACGAAAACGACTTTGAAAGCTGTTGGGAAAGTTACAAGGTTTCATTGGACAGACTACACAAGGCATTTCTTCAGTTTAAAGGATCTAATAGCGGAAATGAAAACTTTCTCTACTGGGAAATTTTTCTGAGAGACATGTTCCCATGTGCAAGAGACTTTGAGGTATCCGTCCGGACTGGAAACTGGGAGCTGTTTCTCTCTGCAGTGGAAAGGAGCTTAGGAATCTTCTTTGGCACAGGAAAGCCAAATTACAGTAGATATGGAGCCCTCTTTTATCAAGATTGTTTGGATATACAGAGAAAATTCCCAGCTCTACACAAGCACTTCAAAGACGGGAACTTTGTCTGTTACTTATCAGAGCGCAAAGGAAGTGCAATAGGATTTGACCAGGCCCTTGAAAAGGCATACAATTTCACGGCTAAGGCATCTGGTGGTATCATTGGATCAACTCGTCAGAAAGAAACAGTGGCTCTCTGGAATATCATCAAACATCACAAAGACTTGTTCGTCTCTTTCCTGAAAGAAACAGCAAGCATTGGTGAACACCAGGGAGAGCTGAACAATCTGCACCACGAGTTCAATCCAAAGTCAGCAGAGAAGGGTAAGTCCCGAGCAGATAAACTGGTTGCTTACATCAAAACTGTTGGCAATCCGTTTAAAGTTGATAGCCCTGATCAGCTGATTAATCTGACAAGTCGTGAAGTCGTGGCGAATCGAGAATACCTACTAGACTGTGTCGAATTTGGACGAGCAAACTATGGCGAATTCGTCCAAGACCGTTTATTTGATAAAAGCAAGAGCTTGCATGCCTCCATAAGCTTCAAGTATCAGTCTTCTTATATGTCCATTGAATCCAATGTAATGGCTAAAGAGAAGAAGGTTAAGGTGCTCACAGACGACCAACTAAATACATCTGCAGTGAACTTTATCGAGTATGCAGCATCCAGGGGATGGGGATTGGAGGAACTGATCATTTATCCTTTAACTTCACGTCCAGTTTATCTACTAGAGAAAGATTCACTGAAGCAAAAGAAAGCCCCCAAATCAGATCTTGCCAAGCAATTGTTACAATTACTTGACAAGGAATCGATTGTGGTTAACGAGACCAATCAGTTACCTCATGTAAAAACGACAGCAGTTGTAATTGATTTTATGGCGATTATCAGGAAATGGACATCAGTCAAGTTAACAGGTGTCAAAACCTTCGGCTCGTTCTGTGAGAAAATTCTGAATAACGTGACTTCATATGGGCAGCAAAGTGAGCAGATACATATTATTCTAGAAAACTATAAAGACATGTCTATCAAAGGAGCAGCACGAGTAACCAGGGCAACCAAAGACGGCAATTTGAATGTAGGTGCTGTTTGTGAGGTGGTGTCCGAGGAACAGTCCTTACCATCTCCTTTGGATGATTTCTTTGACAGACAGTCCAACAAAATCAGTTATCAGAACTTTTTTGTAGAATATTGCTCTTCTCACTACACATCAGAAAAGCCACTATACTTGGCAGGAGGCATAAAATCGGACCCAGATAAATGCACAGTGATTTCAGATGGTGTTATAAATGAAGCGATAGAATTTAGGGCATCTCACGAAGAGGCTGATGATCGTATTATGTTTTCGATCAGTAAGATTCATGCTTTGTCAACAGAAAGTTGCTGTGTCTCTGTTGTGTCACCTGACACAGACATTTTCGTAAACCTTCTTTACTATCTCCAAAGTGCATGGCATGGTCTTAATCTTTACTTGCTCAGAAAGGGTGATTTTAAAGTAAAGACAATACAGCAAAAAGAATTACATCCTTTACACTTGCTACTGAGCAAAGTCGATTCTAGTCTAGTGAGAAGCCTGCCAGCAGGACACGCATTGACAGGTTGTGACACTGTCTCAAAAGTTGGCACAAAGTTGGCTTTGTTGAAAGCTCTTAAGCAGTACAGCCATTTCATTACGGATTTTGGATTGGATGTACTTGACGAGGACATGTTTGAAAAGGCAGAACAATTTTTGGTAAAAGTAGTAGCTAACAAGGCATTCATGAACTGTGCAACTTTTGACGAACTTAGACTAAGAATGCGGCAGCAAACAAGAAACGTAAGGTTTGTGGATCTTCCATGCTCGTCTAATGAAATAAGGCAGCATATTCGAAGGGCATACTTCCAAGCAAGGTTGTGGCTCGAAGCTGCAACAGGGGATGCATCTAAAATCCTTGATGTTACAGAATACGGATACGACATCAACTTATCTCCCACTTGGTTTGTGCCTCCACAAAGACCAATTGATATACCTGAACCATGTAAATGTAAATCCTGTGTCAGGATCACCTGCCCATGCAGACAGAAACAATATGCATGCTCTAATTATTGCAAATGTGGTGAAATGTGCAAAAACCCAATCAATAATGTGGAATAGGAGATTGAACTTATTTTGAGTTATATGGGCAGATATTGTAATGTCTCTTTGTAAAAGTTCAGGTAAAAGATGTGTGTGTTTCAGTTAATCAGTTATTTTCATTTGTAAGCTTTTGTTAATGTTGTTGCTCTTCTGGCAGATTAAATCAGCACATTGGTTTCTTTTCACAATATTATGTACTCAACTTTATGAATTTTAGTAGCTTAAAGCATGTCATCCTCATCGCGCCCCAGTGAAAATTAGTTTTTTCCATTTTTCTCAAAAAGTAAGTCCCTGAGAGCTTTAATACCTTCATAGTGCTAATATAAACATGTGTATTGCGGTCATTTTAAGCCCAATTTCAAGTCTCTAAGCACTTCAGAAGCTGAGATAGGAATTTCCCAAATAAGCGCCTAATATGAAATATGGGCGTGGCTCCACAGGGTTGGGACTAGCGAGACAATATTTGCCCCTCGGTGATTTGAGTTACCAATGGCCTATTTAACCCGATTCAGCAGAAAAAAACTCTGTACATCGAAGTGCACACTCAATTCCTCCCTGCTACTAGAGTAGTAGGACAAAAATAACTTCCCTGGAAAGTTATGGGCAAAAAACTGTTTTGGTCACGTGACACGCTAGTAGAACACGAATTTGATTGTTTAGGGCTCAGGTTACCGTTAGGGTTAGGGTAGTGGTTATGGTTATGGATAGCTTTGGGTTTATGGTTAAGGTTAGGATTAGGGTTTATGTAAAACCGTTTTGTTCGGCTGCAAAACAATAAAAACCAAAGTCACGTAATAATTTTTGGGCGAGCGAATTAGTAAGAGCCCTTAAAAGTAGCTGGAAATCCGGACGTCCGGGGGAGGAAGGGGGTGGTTTTGAAATTTCGGACACACCCGGACAGGGGGAGGGGGTGGTCTGAAATTCTGCGATTTTGGCAAACGTCCTAAGTAGATGGCCCCTTATAATTTAAGTGTGTCATATTTTCGTAAAATGGTCTAGCACTTTTGTATTGGCTGTTGAAATATCATTTACAAACGAAGATTTCAAATTTATGTGATATTCATGTGATCGATCGATTTGAAAAACTAGTAATCAATAATACACATTCATCAAGGTGCTTATAATAAAATACCATATATATACTATACTTGTACAAAGTTATCATGGTTAAATAATGAATAAACGACCTTTATTGACTCAGGTGTTTTTAATGTGGACAATAAGTACCATAACCTAGCTGGATACTTGTAGGAAACGGTGACAATCTTAGTAGTTACCCGCTTTTCCAGTGGTACCATGAAATATGGTTCTGGTTGAGAAATCTCGTGGAAAAGTTTAAAATCTTTAGTTAATCTCTAAAATATCCATTCTGCAGGAAATAAAAAGAAACGTGCAAAATAAAGGTGAAATCTGCACGTTTATCATCCTATTATTTTGGGAAAATTGTTAGCTGTTTTAAATCAAGAAAACACAGGGGGGGAGCCAAGTGGATATTTGTAGATATTTGTAGATTAATGTAGAGTGGATAATCCACGAAAAAAGTGGATGACATTCTACAAATTTATACATTTATCTCCAAAATTTCAGTAGAATTTCTGGGCACATATTTGAGATTACATTTTTGTAGATAAATGTAGATATTTGTAGATTATTGTCAATGGATAATTCACGAAAATTCTACAAATTCTACAAATTTATACATTTATCTCCAAAAATTCAGTAGAATTTCTGGGCACATATTTGAGATATACATTTTTTGTAGATAAATGTAGATATTTGTAGATTATTGTAATGGATAATTCACGAAAAAAGTGGATGACATTATCCAAATATCTACAAATATCCACTTGGCCCCCCCCCCCCAACACAGCAACTAGTTTAGTGTACCTCCCCCCCCTCCCCAGCAACTAGTTTAGTGTACCCCCCCCCCCCCCCCCCAGCAAGTGTACCCCCCCCCCCCCCCCCCCCAGCAACTAGTTTAGTGTACCCCCCCCCCCCCCCCCCCAGCAAGTGTAGCCCCCCCCCCAGCAACTAGTTTAGTGTACCCCCCCCCCCCCCCCCAGCAACTAGTTTAGTGTACCCCCTCCCCCCAACAACTAGTTTAGCCACTGACAAACATCTCACTAACACGATTATTCAAGCTTTCCCATATTTTACTCTATTTGGACACACATTACAAAAATCATCTCACATAAACAACAAAGGTACCTTTAATATCAATTAAATGCTTGTTTAACTTTAACATATAGGTTACTGCTTCAGTAATATCATAATTTAGAAAACCCTATATTTTCTGGAAGTTATGTTATTGTTAATGACTAATTTCTTTGACCGCTTGTAACAGTACTGCATTATTAAAGAGAGATGAATGGCATGGTTACAATCCTGTCAGTTTAGTGGTATTATATGCTGTATTCGGAAACGAGCACTGCAATAATTCTGTTGCACATGTTTCACAGTGAATGCCCACGTATGTGTGGGTAGTAAGTAGTTATTATATAGCTTATTAAATTTGAGATTTATAGGAAATATTTTATAAGTCATTTTATAAGCCGAGTGTGAGAGGGTTAGAACAGTTAATGGTAACTAGTGGTAACTAGTGGTAACTAGTGGTCACTAGTGGTAACTATGGTAACTCTTTCGTTACTCTTCGTTAACAGCTCAATAACAAAAACAGGGAAAAAACGTAACTACACAGCACTGATATCTTTTTCAAATTAAAGTTAACAAAGTTTAAGTAAAAGCATGTAACATGCAATATCATATATATTGGTCTATCAATTTTATAAATTTCTCATAAAGCATAAACATTTCCACAAAATTTAAGAAGTTGAGCTGTTATCCTTGGGTGCCTCGCAGAAATCACGTCGAGTTTGCGCTCATGGGGCGGACGTAACAAGCGCCGCGCAGTGACGCAAGAGTAACCATGGTAACAAGCGCCGCGCAGTGACGCAAGAGAGTGACACGAATCCGGTTCCAACACCAGTACAACACGTGACTTAATATTGAGGCTTTTTGCAACATCTTCAGTAAATATCTTCGAATTGTGATCAAAACAGTAGACTAATTGCATACCACACATACAATGCAGTAACAGAGGATGACATATCGTAACTGATAGTCCGGAATCGGTGAGAAGCACCTTGTTTTTAAGTCCGAGGATAAATTGAGAGACATCACATTACAACCGATCACGAAAAGCATGACGAGTCATTATTACAGTAGCCAGATCATTTGAATTATGAATTTGAACCAGCCAAATTAATAGTACAGGAAGTGGAAATAAGTCTGAAACGGCCGATCACAACAGACAGCTGGTCTCCGTAGTGTCACCCGTCACAACAGAGCCAGAAAGAGGAGCCGCGCGTTACAGAGATTTGTGGAGGAAGCGAGGAGTTAGGTGGCTATGTGTTCTTCGTTTGACCCGCCTAAACCTATGAGAATGCTTTTGTTACGGTCAAATAATATATTAGATAATGTTTATGTCGGTATTATGAATGTGTGATTAAAATTTTGGATTTTCGAAGAATCGAAATATTAAATGATTACATTTATACATGTACCTGAGTCCTGTCTCGATTGAGGCTGATGTTTTCTGACTGCTAGCCCCTGTTCTGATGCTCCAGCAAGGTTTGGTTTGAAGGACTCTTGTAAGCTGAAAACAATATTGTAAGATTAGTGTATTGAACCATATATATATAAGTTTGACGATATAAATTTAAGGAATTATTCTGCGTTTTGTTAAACCGAGCAAGCACTGATCTGACTCATTTCAATTTAAATTTAAATAAAATGTTTCAAAATTTCGACTAAAACAACTAAACAGGCTGCGTTTTCAAGATCAAGAAAACAACAAATTTTTTCAAGAAAACAACAGATTTTTATTTAAATCAATTATAGCAACAATTTGAAAAACTTTAAAGTTATTCTATTACCAAGGAAAATACTACGGGTATGGTGACTTGGACTATTGAGTTTTTAAGTAGATTAAGATTAGTAAACATGCGCTTGCATTGTATTGAAAAAAACTAGAAATTAGGCTTCACGGTAAAATGGAGAAGCAGGCTGATCTTGGAGAGAGCAGACCGTAAAGTTTACGCACCCACCAGGGCTACCTTCCCCAGTTGTTCTTTTTGGTTTATCAGCTTGTATTGTTATATTTATGGACCCCAAGTCACCACACTAAGAAGAAGTTGTAATAAAATAAGTTAAGTTAATGTCATCATATCAGTTTAAAACAGTAAAAGTTAAGTTGAGGATTGAATTTCCTAGTTAATAAAACGGTTCAAACGGTTGGGAATGTAATAATGTTGGTATTTGTATCTGCTGCATTTGTCTACTATACACAATCTTCGCCACTTCAATAGATATTGGGTCGGCAATTTGGTGAGTGAGTGATGAACTGGTTTGGTCTGTGACTGAGTGAGGGGCGATGTGAAAGTTGTGGTAAGTCCAGGTATTATTATTGTTGATGGATTGGGATCCTAGGATGATAGTTTTACAGCGTAATTTAACCAAAGATACAGAAATAGTGAGGATTTCCCCATTCTCATTTAGAATCCGTTTATATATGTTATTCCAAAATTTGGAAGCTATGTAAAGAAACGTGTTGGTTTTTCTTGGGAGGATTATGACATTGCTTGTAGCACGTTTTGATGAGTCTATAGTACTATACAACGAGTATGGAGTGCGAAAATTCATAATTCGAAATATCTCAGATATACAGTGGTATTTGTACAAGTTTTGAACAGTAAGCAATTTTAGTCGATTAAAAATGGGATAAGATATTAACCAAATTGATTTTGTGAGCAATGGTCACTGTTCAGGCACAACATAGCGCAAATTTGTAAACACACGTGAATCTAGTTAAGTGATATAAATACGACAATGCACGATTTGAATACCATCCCAAGATATGGCCAGTGAAAATGCCTGCCAGTCCAATCTGCCAGCTGCCTCAAAGATCAGATCATAAATGTATTCTCTTCAGTTGAGTGACCATGGTTTTCATGTTAAGTACGATTATCTTGTTAAGCTGCATTTTTTATCCCGGTAAGTTAAAGATGCTTGTAAATTTAATTTTTCAGTGAATTTCAAATGTACCAATGTTCAATTTAATTTGGAGCGATAACAATACCATTTTGACAACGTAGAAAAACTTTAAACGTCTCTTTTTCAGGCTATTCCAGTTTTCTTTATACTGCTACTGCATGGACCTCAACCCCAGTTACAAGAACTAGTGGGTATACAATACGACCAACAGACTTACATTCTGCGCGAGAGTATACCTCAGCGGCCCCCTCAGCGGCCCCCTCACCCAGTCCTCAGGCAGTTAACTTTGCAATCAGGAACATTAGAAAACATACAGGGATTCTAATGTTAAATGTCAACGAGCGGAGCTGGGGTGCTGTTTGTTTTTGTGGAGATAGAGCCAAGGAAAGATTTCCTAGCATGTCAACAGCACAGTACATTTGTGAAAGCATGAATTTTAAAATGGTGAAGGAAGTTCGGCCAGTGAGAAAATATTTCAAACTTTCAGGGCAGTTAAATTCCAGGCGATCGAACATTCACAGGCTTCGATGCTCAAACGAGAATCCAAAAGGCTGTACATTCCAATTTGGTAGAGGTTGCCACCAAGCAAATAACAATCAGTACTACTACACAAGAATCTCGTGCTCAGGGTGTAAAGTAGGATTCTACCAGTCAGGCCAGACTTGCAAACCCTGCCCTAGTGGTTCATGCTCTTCTGGGAGTAATTCTTCCCGGTGCAGCTGCCCTAGAGGGTACTTTTGGTCTGGCGAGGATTGCACAGAGTGCCCCAGAAATTTCTTTAGTCAACCAGATAGCACTGTCTGTATTAGCTGTACAGAAAACAGCACTTCAACTAAAGGGTCCCACTCCTGTGTTTGTCCTGAAGGGTATTACTTCAACATGTCTCACTCATTCGGACAATGTGAGAGATGCTCTGAAGAAGAGTATGACAGCTCAGACTTTACAACCTGTAGTGTTACCATGGTAACAGTTAACAGTAACCTAGCAACTAACATTCCCTTTACAACCTGTAACAGTCCGACTGAAGAAACACATTCCCTGACACAGGTACAACTCAATGAGACAATGTTGACGTTGAGGAACGAAACTTCGCCACATGTGACTAGGCTAACCAATGCCATTACAAGGTTAACAACTAATTTTCAGGTTGTAATTCTCTCTGTTGCCATATTTATTTTTATTGTAACCTTCCTGTCAGTCATAAAGTGGAGATGTTTTAAAAACAACCAAGAAGGCGCGCAAGAACCTGTTGAAATGGGAGACATGGACAAAGAGGAGAAAACAAAAGAAGGACCACAACGTAAAGGAAACCCTGGCCCTGGTTCATCCTGCAGCTGCCCAAGTGATGAGTCCAACATTTACGCAGACCCAAACACCCCCCCCCCCCCCAACAATAAAGCAGGAATGTCCCTGTCCCAGTTTTAAATCATTACACGGTAAAACCTGCACTATTCCATAAAATGTGTATAGTGTACTTATTAACTGTTGTTGTACCCCCCCCCCCCCCCCTGTACTACAGTACATGGGTGTGTGAGTATACAAGTAAACTGTGTGTTGAGACGTTTTGAGGTATCATGTACAAATGGCTATACAAAAACTATTTGTACACTTAAATAGTAGGTTGCTACAAGGCTGCCTACGCAATTATAATAGGCTCCTTGCTATGATTATCTAATGTTCGTATTTATGATCACCAGATATATAATATGAAAATAGCTCTTAAATAATAGATTCCCTCCAAGTGGTCCGCGTGATCAGTAACATCAGGCCCTTCGCATGATCGACATGTGAAACTGTACCATCAACTCCCGGTGCTGGTACTGGTATTGCCGCCCTTTACCCGGGGGTCTAATTCCTCAACGGCTAAAATAATGTAATGTAGCTAGCGAGCTCTTAGTCGGATCCCAACCGTTCTAAAAGGCTATCTCGTTAGCTTTTCGTGTTAAAATCGATTTCTCAACGGTTATCACCTCTCTAGATGATTCTTAAAACATTTGGACACTATTGCATTTTTGAAAAAAATGCAATAGGGGTGTTTTCGGCCACACCCTTTTTCAGGGTTTCGCGGTAAGTCGAATTTTTGTATTTCAGCCCAGGAAGGTCTTAAAGACTATTCCGATACACCAAAATGTGCCTAATAGCCACATTTATATACAACTTATGAAGCAACATATACCTTAAAATGCTTCGTTTCGGACATATGGCCGAAAAACGGTTTTTGGCTAGACGCAGTTCATAATTTCCGTGATTTTTGGCATTTCCGCCTAGGAAGGTCGTAGAGACTATTCTGATACACTAAAATGTACACAATGGCCACATTAATATACAACTTATGAAGCAACATATACCCTAAAAGGCTTATTTTCCGAAATGTGGCTGAAAAACGGATTTTTGCCGAGGGAAAAATGACAATATTCACAAATGGGCTATTGGACTGTTAACTAGAAAAGTCTTAAAGACTCATGAGCAACATAACATAACATTTGTAACAAGATGTAAGATGACTCACTTTGTGTCCAGAAACACCTAAAAAAATTGGAGAATGATCTACTTTATTGGGCATCTCTCTTAATGGGCCAGGCCAGCAGCATATAATTTGTCTTACGAAAGGGTAATTTTTTCAAAATTACGGTTTCTTAAGGTCAAAGGGTCGGCTGCTAACAGCAAACTGTTTGCAATTGCCGACCCATGCACATCATATAGTTCTACTGAAAAACGCTCACTTTAGGAGTCATCAGTAAATAAGATTAACTACTGCATGATTTGTGAAAACTCCAACAATTAATTTTCATTGGCACCAATTTAAAAAGAATGTGTGCCAGACCAAAATTCAACTACAAACTTTTTATTTATTCATGCCATGAAACCATGATATATGTACCATAATAAATCGGCACTGGATCCGGGCCAGACTGTTGCTTGACCGCTGACCAGTACCCCACTTTATAATTATGATTGATTTCGCTGCCTCGACCAATATTGGTCTGTAATCCCTGGATTGAGATCTGTTGGCTGCAGTTTAATTTATCTAATTTCCTATAATACCGCAGTGGTTTGGTTCCCACTTCAGAATGACCCCATATTCTTTTTTTCAGTCGCATAGATTTTCCGGGAAGTTGGTCGTTTAGCTCCGGACAGTCTATGCAACGTCTATGCAACGTCCGTGCAACAACAAAAGAACCGTCTATGCAACGTCTATGCAACGTCCCTGCACAATGAACACTCTATGCACACTCCCTGCACGGTCAGTCTATGCAACGTCTATGCAACGTCTATGCAACGTCCCTGCACAGTACCATATGAACACCGGCTACTAGCCGGCTACTAGCCGGCTAGTAGCCACTTTTGTAATAACAGCTCCTCAACTTCACATTAACAACCGGCTACTAACCGGCACTTGAAAAGTGGTCACTAGCCGGCTACTAACCGGCTACTAGCCGGCTAGTGACCACAAAGTGGCTACTAACCGGCTACTAAGCGGTCACTAGCCGGCTATTAGCCGAGCTCTAAAGCAGACCTATTAGTAGCCGGTTCTAAACCGGCTACTAGCCGGCACTTGAAAAGCGGTCACTAGCCGGCTACTAACCGGCTACTAACCGGCTAGTAACCACCAAGTGGCTACTAACCGGCTACTAACCGGTCACTAGCCGGCTCTAAAGCAGACCTATTAGTAGCCGGTTAGTAGCCACTTGGTGGTTACTAGCCGGTTAGTAGCCGGTTAGTAGCCGGCTAGTGACCGCTTTCTAAGTGCCGGCTAGTAGCCGGTTTGGAACCGGCTACTAGTAGGTCTGCTTTAGAGCTCGGCTAATAGCCGGCTAGTGACCGCTTAGTAGCCGGTTAGTAGCCACTTTGTGGTCACTAGCCGGCTAGTAGCCGGTTAGTAGCCGGCTAGTGACCACTTTTCAAGTGCCGGTTAGTAGCCGGTTGGTAATGTGAAGTTGAGGAGCTGTTATTACAAAAGTGGCTACTAGCCGGCTAGTAGCCGGCTAGTAGCCGGTGTTCATATGGTACTGTGCAGGGACGTTGCATAGACGTTGCATAGACGTTGCATAGACGTTGCATAGACTGACCGTGCAGGGAGTGTGCATAGAGTGTTCATTGTGCAGGGACGTTGCATAGACGTTGCATAGACGGTTCTTTTGTTGTTGCATGGACGTTGCATAGACGTTGCATAGACTGTCCGGAGCTAAACGACCAAGTTGCCGATTTTCCCATAGTATGATATTGCGTGTCATTCCCTCGTTTTTAATCAAATGGTGACTGGTTAGTTCTTCTGTTATTACAGCTGTGAGCTGCCTCGAGATCTTTTCTGGGGCATGGGTTATATATATATATATATAATAGAAGGTCTCGAGATACTGATTTAGCTATTTAGGTTACACATGTGAAATTTTTCCAGCTTTGGGTAAAGTGGACTTTAGAGCGGGGAGGGGATCTTAATGACCAAAATCTGAACGATCTCTTACTTACGGGACACTACGGATCTCGGGCTTAATAGCTGGTTTTTAATGAGAGGCTGGAGTCTGGACCTAGATGGACAACGTGAGGATAGCATGAGGATTCAGCATGCTCTGCCTGCCTTTCATGGGGTTTTGTAACCCCGAAAGCTGGTATATCTTATCTCAATTAACCTTGGTTACATCCTGTGCTGTTTCGAATATATAATTAGATTTATAGGTCCAATATCAAGCAAAAAATTCTGATCTCCGGTAGTGATGTTACACTTACATGATTTCCGACGCGAGGATCTCCGAAGTCCGATCTTAAAGTTGGATCTCAGAGCCAAAAAGAAGAACCTAAGCCTTGGTTCCTCTCTTTGAGAGTCAAACAGGACGGTGTTATCAAATCAAACTCGGATTCGTAGCACAATTGAAAAACCAAAGAATTAAATTCTTAATGAATTTCCCGACATCCTAAAATTAATATCAGGTCGTATTCATCTCAAGACTGAGTTTTTTGAGGGTGTTCAGAAAGAAGTCAGTTCAGTTAAACAAAGTTTTAGCGATGTGGTGAAATCCGGTAGTATCGAGAACTCAGCTGCGATTTCTACAGAATCCATTAAATCAGTTGCCAAGCAAATTGCTTTGGAGGAGGAGTTGGGTAGGAACATCATGGTCTTTGGGCTATGCGAGGAGGTCAATGAGGAGATCAATACAAAAGTCGCTGAAGTATTGGAATCATTGGGAGAGAAACCCCGAGTTGAGGCTTGTAGAATCGGCAAGAAATCACCGTCAGCTGCAAGACCGGTTAAAGTTTCCTTTTCCAGTTCTTCGATTGTGCAACAAATACTGAAGAAGTCGAGTAAACTGTGTGGAACAGAGAGATTTAAGAGGGTGTTCCTAGCTCCAGATCGTACAGCAGAAGAGAGAGCTCAGCGTAAAGAACTTGTCCTAGAGCTAAAAAGAAGAGCTGGTATTGAGAAGGACAAAAAACTCTTCATTCGTGAAGGGAAGATTTGTAGCCTTGAGAGGCAAAAATGAGTTTCTAAATATTTTTCGTGTTGTGAGCAAATCAAAAAGTTTAGCTCTATGAGTATTTGTCTTCTGTGTGCTTAGTTTTTGTCGAAGGATCTAACCATTTTATTTCACTTATACAAAACTGTATAGTTTTCAAGGGATTAATCTGGTTTTAGGCGAATCTTGTTCAGAGATCGCTGTTTCATTACTCTTAGTCAGCTGGTGCAGCCTTTATACATACTTTTATATGTATATTTACAATTTTAAATTGCTGTTCAATATCTATTTTTAGTAAACATTAACTGGGGTAGTAAAACCCAGTTCCCAATCAATCAATCAAAAATTCGATTTAGTTGCCCAAACTCCAGTAGGTTACAAGACTTAAGTTCAAGTCGAAGAACACTTTGATTCAGCGTGATCTTTGACTAGTTGGATTTTCCCATATCATGCAGTTGTTATCTACTAATCACTCCTAAACTGAGCGTTTTAAAGTCGAATCTCGAACCCTGCCATTCGGCCTAGAAATCTTAATCTGAAGTTCTAGAATTACAGTTCTAATGTTCTAGTACTAATGTATTAGCGCCCTAGATAAGATGTCGAGGCAGCTGTAATAACAAAAGAGACAGTCAGTAACCAATTGATAAAAAAACGAGGGAATGACACACATTTTCATACGATGGGAAAATCTATGCGAACCAAACCACTGCAGCTGCGGTATTATTATTATGGTAAATGAGCTAAATTAAACTGCAGCCAACAGATCTCAATCCAGGGATTACAGACCAATGGTTGATGGACTAGACAGACCAATATTGGTCGAGGCAGTGAAGTCAATTATAATTATAAAGTGGGGTACTGGTCAGTGGTCAATCGACAGTCTGGCCCGGATCCAGTGCCGAATTATTTTAGGTCCGGTATTCTTAGTATTTCATGGTTTCATGGAATTAGGAATAAATAAATCAAAAGTTGAACTTTTGTCATTACATTTTGGCTAAATTGGTGCCAATGAAAATTAATTGTTGGAGTTTTCACAAATCATGCAGTAGTTAAACTTATTTACTGATGACTCCTAAAGTGAGCGTTTTTCAGTGTAACTATATGATGTGCATGAGTCGGCAATTGCAAACAATTTGCTGTTAGCAGCCGACCCTTTGACCTTGTGAAACCGTAATTTTGAAAAATTGCCCTTTCGTAAGACACAAATATGCTGGCCTGGCCCATTAAGAGATATGCCCAATAAAGTAGATCATTCTCCAATTTTTTTAGGTGTTTCTGGACACAAAGTGATTCATCTTACATCTTGTGACAAATGCTATGTTGCTCATGAGTCTTTAAGACCTTTCTAGTTAACAGTCCAATAGCCCATTTGTGAATACTGTCATTGTTCGCTCAGCAAAAATCCGTTTTTCAGCCACATTTCCGAAAATAAGCCTTTTAGGGTATATGTTGCTTCATAAGTTGTATATCAATGTGGCCATTGTGTACATTTTAGTGTATCAGAATAGTCTCTACGACCTTCTTAGGCGGAAATGCCAAAAATCACGGAAATTATGAACTGCGTCTAGCCAAAAACCGTTTTTCGGCCATATTTCCGAAACGAAGCATTTTAAGGTATATGTTGCTTCATAAGTTGTATATAAATGTGGCTATTAGGCACATTTTGGTGTATCGGAATAGTCTTTAAGACCCTCCTGGGCTGAAATACAGAAATTCGACTTACCGGGAAACCCTGAAAAAGGGTGTGGCCGAAAACACCACTATTGGATTTTTTTCAAAAATGCAATAGTGTCCAAATGTTTTAAGAATCATCTAGAGAGGTGATAACCGTTGAGAAATCGCTTTTAACACGAAAAGCTAACGAGATTCCGTTTCGTCTCTGACTATCTATCCAGCTAGCTATCCTGTTATGTTAAAATAATATAAAGCGCGCGCATTTACTGCGATAAGCTGATTAGCTTTAATTTTTCGCGCAATCCGTCGAAATCTTTAGTAGACCCTTTTAAAGTTTTAAAAGTTTGACTAAATTCCGCGATACGTCATTTATAATTTGAACTGTTGATAACTGACCTAACACTACTAATGCTGCCACTGGCGCTTTTTGCTCGAAGATTCTTGATAAGAACCGAGCTGGGCTGCTTCCCTCTATGTCGTCTGTCTAAACTTTGCGTCGTGAAGTTAGGATCATTCCTGAAAGTTGTGTTTGTTAATTGTATTTACTTAGTTATATTATATTATATATATATTATATTACTTAGTTATATTAGGTTATGTAATATCCGGATAGGAACATTATTGTGATATTTCTGATGAAAATTTTTGATAATTCCGTATATGTGACAAAGGGACAATGCTATTTTCCTAAGTTAGATTAGTTAACAGTTTAAGTTTCGATTTTACAGCGATTTATTTTACAGTCAAATATGAAATCTTGTTTAAATGTTCTATATAACAACTAATTTCTGAAAAATACCGTGTCAATTATTGAATTTTTGTTAGAAGGAACCAAATCTATTAAACGTCACTTAACAAGGAAATATCGGATGATAAATCTGCCAAATAGCATGATGATGAAATGAAATAATCTGATTATAAACCGCCCATATGGTTAGCAACTGACACAATTTTCAGGTACTTACCATGCCAGAGCGGCTCTAAAAGGTGAGGTGAAAATATTTAGCAACAAACAATTAGATCATCTCAAAAACAAATCTATTCAGAATATTATATAATAAATATTTTGTTATCTTGACAGAAAACCCACGTACGTGTCCGGAGGGGAGTCTGCGGTAGGAACACAGTCTAGACTGTGTGCAGGACTTTTCGTGAGACCTCTGCTACTCGACCCTATTGAGGCAACTGAAACAAACCCTGTTGAGGCAACTGAAACAAACGATAATTTACTTATGAGGCTTAACTAATTGTCATTGATGTTTTGGGACAAAATGAGAGTCTCCACTCAGTTTTTCAAGCAAATAGTTGAAAAACTAATTACAACACTACAAATCTTAAATCTATTACATTTAGTAGTGTTGTAATTAGTTTTTCAACTATTTGTTAGAAAACCTGAGTGGAGACTCTCATTTTGCACAAAACATCAATTATATGATCGACCCACTCAAAAGAGCGAAAACAGATTGTTAGTTACTAATTGCATTCAAAGCTTTGAAACCAATAAAGTAAGTGCACAGTGTGTATTGTAGATCACCAGCGTGCTACAGACTAGTGTCATATTGTAATGCTAATTAATTGTTTCATTAAGATCAGGAAAAAGGAGTGGTGCACTTATTGTTGTAATTAAATTAAACCAGATTAAGTATACACTATACAATAGTGTACAATGCTAGCATTGTATGCTGAGTGTAGCGTTGGTACAATTACTGTTGTATTTCATATGATAAGGCGGTCTAATTTCATCAGGTGTTTAGTGTTACATAAATATTGAAACAAAACCCGACCTAATCTTGTAATCTTTTACTTAAGTGTCAGCGCTCATCTACCATATCTGATAAAGTGAATCAGTATAAAATTCTTAAAACATGCCGTTTTTCTCAAATTACAGCAATTAAATGTTGTGTGGAACAAGCAGGGGAATAAAATTTTATCCGACTTTTAATCTAGTCAACACAATCCTCCTAAACTGAACATTAAATAAGTAATAAGCTTTAAAAATGTTCGACCGTAGTTAAAGAAGAATAATATATCGTGAATAACTTCCGGGAGTTAGCTTTAGAAACATATATTTGCTCCCAGTTTCATTTAGATTTTAGAGCATGAAGTCAGATTGCTCAAATTGCAATAAAGTTTTTGGATATTGATTCTTTGTGGTTACCATCACTTAAATGTAGGATGTACCATAATAACAGATTTAATAATTAGCCTTGAAACTTTTGAAAAATGACTGTTCTGATAAATGTAAATAAGAATCCACTAATAGTAATAATCCTACATATAATAATAAACATGAGACAAAAACTTACAACATCATGACACGAGTGAGCACATGACGATTGAACAAACTAAATCACCGCCTGCCACGATAGTAAAGTTCAGATTAGTTATATATAATATATAAGTTAAATAAAGCTAACTTACTCTCACTTTCATCTCCATCCGAGGAAGCCCCCGCACCCTCCGCCAGATTGATATCCACGATATTATCTTGTGCTAACGACTTTATCTGGTTATCTGCAGCCCTGTAAACGTCATAGGTTTTATTATGATGATTAAAACCTAAATAATTGATGTTCTTTCAATAATGATTCAATCTATTATGATGTGAAGAATGTACGGTAAATACAAATGAATTTCATATGTCAAAACTATGCCCGGAATCACTTAGTGTATGAACTTCTTGAATCAGACAAATAGAATGGAAATCTTATTGTTTAGATGAGTATTGTTTTCAATACAGATGACTAAGTCACTAGGTTACTGTGATGAAAACAATGATAGTGGCTAGACTTAGTACCAGCACATAGTACGTGTATAATAATAATCAATATCTTTGTACTTTCTAGATCCAAGCTAGCCGCAGGTATTTTATTTTGATTTAACATCACGAAAACAGTGCCATATAACGGTTATAACGGTTATATGGCGGCGCACGTTCTATTGCGCACAGTATATCTTACATTCTCACCGGGGGTTTATTCAGAGTGTGTTTTAATTAAGGCCGGCTATATATTATGCAGACAAACATCATAATTAGCAATATTCATGTGGAAATCATGCCATCTAAATCTTATTAACGTGCCAAAATATGAAATTCGTGGAATTTGCTTTCATCACCAGGTATGTCAATGATTGCCAAACTGACAAACTAATGATACACCTACAACAGTTGAGGGAGCGTGATACCTGGGTGTAATCACCAGTCAACACCACATAGTTACAATCATTGATTATGTAATTAGACAGTTACTTGGTTAATTAGACAGAGCGTGTTGTAATAATATAATATAATAACTCACGTTTTGAAGATGGGATCTCCCATCACGCGTACCATCGAGGTTGTTACCTGGCAAACAGTTATTACCTGATTAGCTAATTAAGTAACTAGTTACCTGGCAAACAGTAATTACCTGATTAGCTAATTAAGTAACTAGTTACCTGGCAAACAGTAATTACCTGATTAGCTAATTAAGTAACTAGTTACCTGGCAAACAGTAATTACCTGATTAGCTAATTAAGTAACTAGTTACCTGGCAAACAGTAATTACCTGATTAGCTAATTAAGTAACTAGTTACCTGGCAAACAGTAATTACCTGATTAGCTAATTAAGTAACTAGTTACCTGGCAAACAGTAATTACCTGATTAGCTAATTAAGTAACTAGTTACCTGGCAAACAGTAATTACCTGATTAGCTAATTAAGTAACTAGTTACCTGGCAAACAGTAATTACCTGATTAGCTAATTAAGTAACTAGTTACCTGGCAAACAGTAATTACCTGATTAGCTAATTAAGTAACTCATTTTTTCAATTAATTAGTCAATCAATAAATGCCATGCAGGTCTCTATAATTTATGAATAGATAGTACTGGATTTGAGTGACGATAATATGTCCATACTTTGGAAGCTTTCATTCACTCACATCCCATGCCGTGGAGGAAAACTTAAATAGTACGAAAAATATTAACAATAAGTTGTACAACTTATTGTTGTACACTCCGCTAGTCAGTCACCCTGCAGGTACAACTTACCACTACGATAGAGTTTCCAGCGAGACCTTTAGACTTTTTGTTCACTTTGAGGATGTACCGGCCTTGACAAGGAGTATTGTAGGAGGCTCGCTCCGCTAGGTTTATGTCGAAATATCCCAACTGTGTAGTGTTGGTTTGAAGCTTGTTAAATAAGAGAGGTCGTTCAATCTGGCTGACGTTATATGTGACGTTATATTATGTGAACCATCTCTTTTTGGGTTTGGGTTAGGGAGCTAACTTGCCACATATGTCCAGGGTTCAGATCCAAAAAGAGATTGTTCACATATCACGTCAGCCAGATTGAACGATCTCTTACTGATATGATCCTATAATTATAGACCATTTACATTTTACACATAGTACATAGCTATTGTCTAAAAATTACACGCAAGCTTTTCCAAGCGCCATCATCTTACTAGGCGACATATCACATACGTAAAATGCGACTGATCCCTCAGCGTAGATCAACACTGCACCTTTAATGAACTTAGATCGACCTTTTATTTATAAACAATAAAGCAGAATATATTCAGTAACTGTTCATCAGCAGTTAAACTGAACTATTTAACTTACCTTTTCAGAATCTTTTCCACCGTTTACTTCCTGAAATACAAATTTTAAGCATAACGATAATTGCATTGTACGTGTTTTATTCATATTTGCAGTGATGCTGCGTATGTAGTTGTAGTAGTGATGCTACTAGTAGTAGTAGTAGTATAGTAGTGATGCAGATGGACACAAAAATGAATTCATGTGCTCTGTGCATGAAAAGTACATGAAAGTGCCTCGAAATTTAAGCTACTATCACCAGACTTCAATAGAATTCCTCCGATTCGCGGTAATGAAAACCAATTACCGCATGTAATGACAACCAATTACCGCACGTAATGACAACCAATTACCGCACGTAATGACAACCAATTACCGCACGTAATTTGCACACAGTACAAGGAGGATTCCAAAAAGCTGCACACGCGTGATAAACGTGAGACAGGCTATCAGATTACAGAGGAGTCCTACAACTCATGAACTAGTTGTGCACTGATTTAAATTCTGGATCTCTCTCCAGCGTGTTCGAGTATGATGGTTTTCTTATCTTATCGCTGTATAAAATATAAGTAAATTTACTGGAAGAACTAGCAGATGAATCGTTAACTTGGGAGATCGTAATATGTTTTTTTGGACAATCCTATGTTTTGAACTTTCACTTTAGATTACATTGATGAAAGGTCATCGTTTCACACTTCGATCTGGAGTATTACTACAATTAACAATATACAATATCAATACTAACTTGCAGTTTCAACTGTGACTCAAAGCTCCATTTATGTGTAAATTACTGGTTGTGTAAAACTTGAGTCTAGAAGATTTAAACTACACCTCATTAAAGAAGCTTTGAAGTGGGAGTCGAACTCTGCCAGAGAAAGAAATAGCTCCTTGATCATGAGTATGACACTGCCTATACAATATTAGAGTGTGCAAGTATTGATGTAGCACAATATCTAGCAGTTCACCACAGAGCTACGAGCTTACAGTGTGACTGTAACACAGAGCTACGAGCTTACATTGTGACTGTAAGATGTAAGATGTAAGATGCAGAGTAAGATGTAAGATGTAAGATGCAGAGTAAGATGTAAGATGCAGGGTAAGATGTAAGATGCAGGGTAAGATGTAAGATGTAAGATGCAGGGTAAGATGTAAGATGCAGAGTAAGATGTAAGATGCAGGGTAAGATGTAAGATGTAAGATGCAGAGTAAGATGTAAGATGCAGGGTAAGATGTAAGATGTAAGATGCAGAGTAAGATGTAAGATGCAGGGTAAGATGTAAGATGTAAGATGCAGAGTAAGATGTAAGATGCAGAGTAAGATGTAAGATGCAGAGTAAGATGTAAGATGCAGGGTAAGATGTAAGATGTAAGATGCAGGGTAAGATGTAAGATGCAGGGTAAGATGTAAGATGTAAGATGCAGAGTAAGATGTAAGTTGCAGAGTAAGATGTAAGATGCAGTGTAAGATGTAAGATGCAGAGTAAGATGTAAGATGCAGGGTAAGATGTAAGATGTAAGATGCAGAGTAAGATGCAGGGTAAGATGTAAGATGTAAGATGCATGGTAAGATGTAAGATGTAAGATGCAGGGTAAGATGTAAGATGTAAGATGCAGAGTAAGATGTAAGATGTAAGATGTAAGATGTAAGATGTAAGATGCAGAGTAAGATGCAGGGTAAGATGTAAGATGTAAGATGCAGGGTAAGATGTAAGATGTAAGATGCAGGGTAAGATGTAAGATGTAAGATGCAGGGTAAGATGTAAGATGCAGAGTAAGATGTAAGATGCAGGGTAAGATGTAAGATGTAAGATGCAGGGTAAGATGTAAGATGCAGGGTAAGATGTAAGATGTAAGATGCAGGGTGAGATGTAAGATGCAGAGTAAGATGTAAGATGCAGGGTAAGATGTAAGATGTAAGATGCAGGGTAAGATGTAAGATGCAGGGTAAGATGTAAGATGTAAGATGCAGGGTAAGATGTAAGATGCAGGGTAAGATGTAAGATGCAGGGTAAGATGTAAGATGCAGGGTAAGATGTAAGATGCAGGGTAAGATGTAAGATGCAGCGTAAGATGTAAGATGTAAGATGCAGAGTAAGATGTAAGATGCAGGGTAAGATGTAAGATGCAGGGTAAGATGTAAGATGCAGGGTAAGATGTAAGATGTAAGATGCAGGGTAAGATGTAAGATGTAAGATGCAGAGTAAGATGTAAGATGCAGGGTAAGAAGTAAGATGCAGGGTAAGATGAAAGATGCAGGGTAAGATGTAAGATGCAGGGTAAGATGTAAGATGTAAGATGCAGGGTAAGAAGTAAGATGCAGGGTAAGATGAAAGATGCAGGGTAAGATGAAAGATGCAGGGTAAGATGTAAGATGTAAGATGCAGGGTAAGATGTAAGATGCAGGGTAAGAAGTAAGATGCAGGGTAAGATGAAAGATGCAGGGTAAGATGAAAGATGCAGGGTAAGATGTAAGATGTAAGATGCAGGGTAAGATGTAAGATGTAAGATGTAAGATGCAGGGTAAGATGTAAGATGTAAGATGCAGGGTAAGATGTAAGATGCAGAGTAAGATGTAAGATGTAAGATGCAGAGTAAGATGTAAGATGCAGGGTAAGAAGTAACACTTCCCAAGGTGAGAACTGCAATATTTTTAACAGCACTCTACAGTCTACCTGTTAAAATATGCGCCACACAGCAGATTAACCATGTGCTGAATTGAAAATTCCCTCCTAAAATGTCGAATTTATAATGAAGAATGTGGACGAATGCCACAGAATGTAGTTATTAAATGTGTGTATTAGTGTGACTCAACTATTTCTGAAATACTCAACTATTTCTGAAATGTGTGACATTATTTGTGCAGATTAAGTTACTTTTCACAGTTGTTTGGATTTCAACAGTGAACACGTCACTACCAGACACGTAGGATAAAACATATTATAACTAACACTATACGTGTTAAACTGTACTGGCAACTAGCCAGGAATATTATAACTAACACTATACGTGTTAAACTGTACTGGCAACTAGCCAGGAATATTATAACTAACACTATACGTGTTAAACTGTACTGGCAACTAGCCAGGAATATTATAACTAACACTATACGTGTTAAACTGTACTGGCAACTAGCCAGGAATGGCTCAGTACAATCACAGCTCTAGGTGATGCAAATATTTGCAGTTTTAAATTGTGTGCAATTTACGGTTCTTATGTTGGAGTACAGTACATCCAACAACCCCAGTTGCAACAGTAACTAAATAACTGGTTACTAGGTACATCCACCCAACAAGTTGCAACAGTAACTAAATAACTGGTTACTACCCAACAAGTTGCAACAGTAACTAAATAACTGGTTACTACCCAACAAGTTGCAACAGTAACTAAATAACTGGTTACTACCCAACAAGTTGCAACAGTAACTAAATAACTGGTTACTACCCAACAAGTTGCAACAGTAACTAAATAACTGGTTACTACCCAACAAGTTGCAACAGTAACTAAATAACTGGTTACTAGGTACATCCACCCAACAACCCCAGTTGCAACAGTAACTAAATAACTGGTTACTAGGTACATCCACCCAACAAGTTGCAACAGTAACTAAATAACTGGTTACTACCCAACAAGTTGCAACAGTAACTAAATAACTGGTTACTACCCAACAAGTTGCAACAGTAACTAAATAACTGGTTACTACCCAACAAGTTGCAACAGTAACTAAATAACTGGTTACTACCCAACAAGTTGCAACAGTAACTAAATAACTGGTTACTACCCAACAAGTTGCAACAGTAACTAAATAACTGGTTACTAGGTACATCCACCCAACAAGTTGCAACAGTAACTAAATAACTGGTTACTACCCAACAAGTTGCAACAGTAACTAAATAACTGGTTACTACCCAACAAGTTGCAACAGTAACTAAATAACTGGTTACTACCCAACAAGTTGCAACAGTAACTAAATAACTGGTTATTACCCAACAAGTTGCAACAGTAACTAAATAACTGGTTACTAGGTACATCCACCCAACAACCCCAGTTGCAACAGTAACTAAATAACTGGTTACTAGGTACATCCACCCAACAAGTTGCAACAGTAACTAAATAACTGGTTACTACCCAACAAGTTGCAACAGTAACTAAATAACTGGTTACTAGGTACATCCACCCAACAACCCCAGTTGCAACAGTAACTAAATAACTGGTTACTACCCAACAAGTTGCAACAGTAACTAAATAACTGGTTACTAGGTACATCCACCCAACAACCCCAGTTGCAACAGTAACTAAATAACTGGTTACTAGTTGCAACAGTAACTAAATAACTGGTTACTACCCAACAAGTTGCAACAGCAACTAAATAACTGGTTACTACCCAACAAGTTGCAACAGTAACTAAATAACTGGTTACTACTCAACAAGTTGCAACAGTAACTAAATAACTGGTTACTACCCAACAAGTTGCAACAGTAACTAAATAACTGGTTACTAGTTGCAACAGTAACTAAATAACTGGTTACTACCCAACAAGTTGCAACAGTAACTAAATAACTGGTTACTACCCAACAAGTTGCAACAGTAACTAAATAACTGGTTACTACTCAACAAGTTGCAACAGTAACTAAATAACTGGTTACTAGTTGCAACAGCAACTAAATAACTGGTTACTACCCAACAAGTTGCAACAGTAACTAAATAACTGGTTACTACTCAACAAGTTGCAACAGTAACTAAATAACTGGTTACTACCCAACAAGTTGCAACAGTAACTAAATAACTGGTTACTAGTTGCAACAGTAACTAAATAACTGGTTACTACCCAACAAGTTGCAACAGTAACTAAATAACTGGTTACTACCCAACAAGTTGCAACAGTAACTAAATAACTGGTTACTACTCAACAAGTTGCAACAGTAACTAAATAACTGGTTACTACCCAACAAGTTGCAACAGTAACTAAATAACTGGTTACTACCCAACAAGTTGCAACAGTAACTAAATAACTGGTTACTACCCAACAAGTTGCAACAGTAACTAAATAACTGGTTACTACCCAACAAGTTGCAACAGTAACTAAATAACTGGTTACTACATCCACCCAACAACCCCAGTTGCAACAGTAACTAAATAACTGGTTACTAGGTAGAAATCATTGCTTTTTGCTGTTAAGTTCTTCGTCCTCACAGGGGTAGAGCCAATATATTTTCTACTAGGTAGTAGGGTGAAAGACGAAAGTTCACTAAGAATTTCACCAAATAAATATGTATTGATATAAATGTTTCCCACAACTATCTACAAATGAATCTAAGGCACATTGATATTTAGTACACTGATGTAATTTCTTAATTTATACAATCCTGATTTTTAGGTTCCAGATGAAACGAAAAGAAGACTTCGTTTGTGATTATATGTGATATGTGATATGCTTAGATCATAGTAAAATTGATCGGAAAATGTCCGGGTATGACATGTATAAAAATGATAACTGACAGTTTGAAACAGTGATACAAACCTCCACAGAGTTTGTCTTGTCCACGACAGTTGTTGTCTTGACAAGTAGTTCTCAAAACTCTGTACAGTATTGAGTATTCTAAGCCAAACGAGAAATGATTCTTACAGTTCCTTTACATAATACATTATGCATATGATTTAACGATTTAATTGCTGAACATTTGCCATGAATACCCGGAATAATAAGAGACTTCTCACTTAATTGCGGAATGTATGTGGAATTGCGGAATGTATGTTCAGTGTCCACAACTCCTCATCAGTCTTCATGAATAATGAATATTGCATCAATTACCAAGTATAGAAATATAAATGTAGACACTACAATTAAATTGTTCAGTGTAAACAATAGCAACTACTTATAACTAATTATTAAACGTGGTATTTAAAGAGTTAAAGCTATCGAACCTTTCTGACTGAAATAGTAAGATTCTTGTCTGTTAACCGGCCATTATCGCTCCTAATTGAACACTGCAGTTCAAATGTCTCGTGCCAGTCTACCTTGTGATTTACAATCTTTTTCCTGTAAGGTTACGTAAATTGTATCTAGATAAATGTATTGCGGGGTAGGGAGCCGGGAGGGGAAGAGAGAGAGAGGGGGGAGAGGGGGTTCATTTTACTTTATCTGGTTTATTAATAGTCCTATCCTAAAATCATCGTTAATAAATAACTTACGTAGCTGTCTGACCCCGGAATTTCCCGTTTGACAGCTTCAATTTCGCAAATAAATATCCGCTGAAAGGTTTTTAATAAGTTAAATAGATATAATATGAGATTTGATACGAGATATTATGATATAAGATATGATTAATTTCATTATATAATAATATTATGACTGCGTAACTACGCTCTGCCACTAAGAAGCCACAATTTCTTCACGTTCAGTAGATCAATACTCAATACATTTTCAGTTCACATTTCTTGATTAAAAGAATAAAGACTGTGTAACTCTCTACAGTACACTCTATTAACCTCCCTATGGGTAGCAGGAACACGGTGTTTTCAAGCTAAGCAAGTTAAAAACACGTGCCGGAGGGGACAAGAAGGTATTCTATCATACACTTTTACACGTGATACACTTTTACACGTGATACACTTTTACACGTGATACACTTTTACACGTGATACACTTTTACACGTGATACACTTTTACACGTGATACACTTTTACACGTGATACACTTTTACACGTGATACACTTTTACACGTGATACACTTTTACACGTGATACACTTTTACACGTGATGTTGTCGTGATTGTCCTTCCTATGAACGATTAGGAGGATGCAAGCAGTTTTTGTTCAAGCATTTGGGGGTTTAAAAACAAGAAACATACTCTGCGGTAACACGGGGAGGGGGGATCATACACCTATACACTAAGTACCGTACGTGACGTTGGGGGGGGGGGGGGGGGTGGGTCATATTTTCTTCCAAAACACAGTTAGTACATGGTACATTTCCCAGAAAAACAGTTAGTACATGGTACTAAGGGGGGTGTCCAACCCCAAAAAAACCCATTCTACCTCAAACTCTCAAATTTCAATTTTGGGAATGGGTTTTGAGGTTTTTTTGAGTTTTTTTGAATTTTTCCTGTTTTTGTAACTTTTTATCTAATTCGACTACATTGAAAACAAAACCCCTATTAAATAATGGGTATAATTTGCCCATTTCCCAATGTTTAATGAGCTGTTTAAAGCAATTTACGGGTGGGTATCTTATTTTAAATACCAAAACACAGTTAGTACCGTTGTCTATTGACAAAATTTCAAAATTACACTTAGTCGACATCACGTACAGAACTTAGTACCTGATCCCCCCCGGGTAACAATACGGTAACAATATATACGGTAACTGCGGTAACAAAAACATTTGAAAGATTCAAGACGGTTGAAATTTACGGAATGCTTTGTTGTGGTAGGATCAGCTATTCAATACCACCAACAACATGACAAAGTACATGGTGGCCATGTTTGAACAGTCGCTCCGACCTTTAGCCTTTAAAATCAAAAATCTTATAATTTATATTACGATTTAAAAAGCTGGTTGCCGGTGACGAACCTGTTGGAAGGCACATCTTGGATGTGCTCGATGGTAATGGTCGTGTCGAACTGGTTCTTAAGGGTCATGTTGGGAGAACCACCATAGCTATACCTCCTTCCATCCTACTTTTAGTTGTACAATAATTAGTTAAATAACAGTATATATATATGTACTTATCGAGTTGAAATTGTTAATATTCTAATGATGAAGGATTTTCAGTTTTAGGTGGTGGTTCCTAAAGTTCTGAAATGAAATGCTTACAACTCTAGCTCTCTCTGCTCAGACATTCGAATGAACAATAATACCATGATCTTAGAAGTACGAAATAATATTATTACAAACTTGAACAAAAATAAATCACATAATTAGAAGGTATTCATATCTGACAAACAATAATTCAATTCTTCATAAAAATATTTTTTACATCAACTGTCTTTTTCTTTAAAAAGGCAATAGATGTATAGAAGTGGAAGGATTTGAGAATGGGTATAGTGGGTAGGTAGCTTTTTCGTGTCACGTGAGTCATGAATCGTGTCACAAAGGAAAACATGCATAACCCTCCGCATACGTTATTTTAATGCATATTCTCTGCCCGCAGAGCAGTTATGGTGTAGTCGCCATGGTTACCCTCCGCATACGTTTGTACGATTTGACGATTGATCGAATTACACTTTCGATTGCGCGGCGCCAATTGATTTAGATTACAAGCGATTTCCCGGATGTGTTAAGTAGCTCACGCTTTTCTTTACTTGATCATTGATCATGATGCGGAACAACGTACTAACTTCTCGTTTTGTTGTGAGTGCTTGATTTGTTATACGAAATGGACCATAAATGTTATTATGAGTTGCATTACCTACTACGGATTTCACGACTTTTAACTGCATATCACCACACAGGCGCAGGCTACGGTGTCCGGTCATTAAACTTTTTAAATTTGACTAATTGACAATGGAAACCCTTCCATTTTGTGTTCCGTAGCGCCCCAAGAATGGTAAACAAAGAACCATTATTTAATATTTTGACCAACATGAAACTATCGCGATCGTTAATTTTAATTTTAAATTTTGAAAGGCATAGCAATCACTACGGTTGATGGAAATCTAGCGTCCGCTAACCGGCGCAATTCTTGTTATTGACAAAAACTTTAAAATTATCATTCAATATGTATAGAAGTAAAATAAAAAATACACTAATAATAACATGATGTACTCTAGTAGCCGGGAGCTACTAGTAACTAGAGTAATGAGTAAACTACTAGTGGGAGCTACTAGAGTAATGAGTAAACTACTAGTAGTGGGATATAAGAAACAACTGTTCGACATTTCAGTCACTTTGCTTTTTATTTAGCGGTTAAGCTTAATAAAATGCATATCAAATTTCGGTTTGGCGGATGTCCAAAGACAAATGAAGGTAATGACTATTACTACTTTCAGGCTCATCAAGGTAATGACTACTATTACTTTAAGGCTCACAACTTATTAATTATCTAAAATTGGTGCCGTCGTGCCGATCGGTCTTTACCCCGAAGATAAATAAACGAAATAAACGGCAACATCTGGAAAGTAAACAAAAGCTACTAAAGACTATCTAATCTGTTAAAATATTCTCAGGTAAACAAATTGCTTGATCAAATTTAAAATTGGATTATTATTGTACTTCTAGTAACTTTGATAGTCCTTCATCAATAATTCAGTTACTAGAGGATAAAGAATCAAATAAGATTAAGGGGACAAATAACCTTTAACACACGTTAATCAAAAGGGTAGAATTGTAGCACTCATCTACTGGATTTATCTTCGAGGCTCATAAACTTAATTTCAGCGAATTAAAAGAACAGGAAATTTTTACTGATTTAAAAAATATGTCTGAACCTTGAATTTTATAAATACTGTACAGATCAAAAATTATTGATGTTATGACCTTTTACTAGCAAGCACTAGAACACCAAGACATATTTCCAAATTTATATTATGTTTGTTTAAAATATAACATTACAGTTACGATAAAAACTCATGAAGAAAAATATGTAAAATAATTGGTATTATAAAGATAAAACTCTTGAACTCAGATCTGATCATAAAAATTAAAAAACAACTAATTATCATTATTTAACTTTTGTGTTAGTTTAATTTAAACTGTTCAACACAATATTATATCATAATGTAGGGAATGTATGATAACTGCAAAGTTCCATCCAGCTGATCCCAGTTCTAATGTACCGTCACAATAGTGACTTTAATATACAATAAATTAAATCGAGTGATGCAATTGGCAGAGCACAATTGTAAATCATGAGCAATAAATATCATCTATCCCTCGTAGCTCTTCTTCTCAGGTATCAGGTTGAAGGAGACATTGGATATAGGGGCAGTCCATGCCTTCTTTGCCTTCCCACATACGCCTCTAACTGCTACTAGCACACTCCTCATTATATCCATGCTCAGGCGTGTCCTGATGTTCCACATCACCTGGCTGTAGTCCTCCTTGGTCTTGGTGGCTATCAACAGTCAACACAGCAAGTCTCCTTATGAAACGCTTGGGCTCAGGAGCCATTCCTCCTGCGGGTCATACAACGTATGACAAGGCTTTCTGGCTTTAAATGAAATAACAATGAGGGTCAGGGCGTTCACATAGCCATGTGTATATATGCGTACTGCGCTTGTTTCACAAGTAGAATACCTTCGGCGGTCGCGCGCTACTGCAGCAAGCGAGAGGGCTCTGGTTAGAGCAAGTCAAGACGTGATACTTACCGGGCCGCGCGGCGCTCAGCCTGTCATCCCGCCTAATCTCTATTCTATTATGCATGGCTACCGATGAGTAATCCGTTGGAGTAAAGTCTGCCGGTGTCCTGGGTGTGATGGATCTGAGTTAGATGGCAGGTTGTGGAGGTGGTAATCGTTTCTTCCTATTGCCCTGGCCTGGTAGTCTTGTACTGCCAGGGCTCCTGCGGTCTGGTACGAGGTTAGTTTAATGGTTAGAGATCTAGTGATGTTTGAAATTTGTTAACTCCTTTTAGCTACTTCTCCCTTAGATAAGTATTGCATTCTTTTTTCTGCTATACAGTTCTTTACGACAACTCTGTTCATTATAATTCAAATTTTTTCACTCTGAACTATAAATCTCTGGCCTATTGACTGTTTCAGATCCAGATTGCTAGGGTTTATAACGGTGCCACTGAAACATCCTGCTGTTGATCTCTTATCCGGATCACCCAGTCTCCTCCCGATCCTCCCACACTTCACAACAAGATGCCAACACTGCCCGCCAACTTCCTCGCCTTACTGCAAAACTTATCTCTTGAAGTAAAGCAACACATGCATACCCTCCTCACTAAGAGTATCCTGGACAGTCTGAAAGAGGAAAAGCTTGCTTCAAAAATAGAACGGTTAGATGAAAAGAAGAAGGAAAAGAAAACGAAGAAGGAAACTACTGTCCAAAATGTCTCGTATAGCCCACATGCGCTCGTAGAGCACGTTCCAGTCCTCCCTGGAATGAACGAAAATCTATTCAAGAAAATCACAGAAGAATTAGATTCAATGAATCTTGAAGGCAAATCTAAAAAAGTCCTTATGGCTAAGCCCTTCATCAGAAGACTACTGCTTTGGTAACATTGTTAACAAGCCACATCCCATCAACAACTTCCCTAGCATCTTTAAGTTGATGGGACTTATTAATGACCTCCCCTCCACCACCAACAACATGGATGCTTGCCTTGTTACTAGGTACGACACTCAGCAAGCTAAGTTAAGCCTCCATAAAGACGATGGAGACCTAATAATATCACAGTCCAGCTCCATTTGCACTTACTCAATAGGGGCTCCACGGTCACTTGAGTTTGTACTGGATACAACCCAAGTAGAACAACGCACAACTAGGGCCTCTAGGTCAAGGCCAGCCAAAGAGTTGATTAACACAGACTTCACCCTCCCTGCCACCAATGGCACACTGAACATCATGAAGCCTGGTGCACAGCAAGTCATAAGGCACAGGATTGCCCCAGGAGTTGCACCTTCTGACAATGAAACTTGTTGGAGGTATAGTCTCTCCTTCAGAAAGTTAACCACACCTTCCTCTTCCTCTTCCCCTTCATCTCCTATTCTTCCCTCTCCTACATCCGACAGTCCTAATAAAGTATCCCCAAAAGCCCCCACAGACTCTCAAAAACACCAGAAGTCTATCATTCTCATTGCTGGTGACTCCTTTGCTGCTCGATTGGACGCTGATCGCCTCAGTAGAGGTAAAGAAACTGTCACCAACATAGCTAAGGGTGGGCTTAAGATCTCAGCTATACAGAAATCTATTGAGGCCTTTCATACAAAAAACCCTCTTGTGCAGGTAAAGAAACTGTTCTTAAGCTTCGGTGCCAACGACATCCGGTACTGTACCCAGGGTGTCAATCATCTCAAGACCCCTGTGAGTGACCTTATGAAGACAGCAAGAAAACTTTATCCAAATGCACGTGTTTTTGTACAAGCTATTCCACCAGTCCACCCCAATGGACAAGAGAAAATCCCTGGTAATGTTACGTTTGTGCTATGAATAATTTGATCTTTGATCGCTGCTCTAGGCATAAACTGTTTTACCTTGATGTTTTTTGGGCATTCTTAGACCGCTATGGAAACAGAAACGAGAGATTATTTCCTAAATGTGACAATAGGGGCTTTTATGATATTCATCCCAGCCCCAAGGCTGGGATGCCAGTGTTGGCAAAGATCTATCTCAGAATCATACACTCAAAGTGATTTAATCCAATGGGATACTGATGTGGTAATCCAATTCAATATTTCAATTTTTCATTGTCTGCATCAGTATCCTATTGGATCTGATCATTTGGATGTTATTTATATGTATTCAAACGAAGTGATAGCATAATGTATGTTACTTCATATTATAGCACAATACCTAACAAAACACAACGGCGAGACACAATTCTGTTAATAATATACAATAAAGCCGTTTCAGGAAACTGTAAACTCTGCAGCAAACAAGGGACACTTAATCATATCCTCACGTTCTGCAAGGTTGCACTAAGACAGGGACGTTTCAACTGGCGCCATGATCAGGTCCTACGTGAAATCATGAAGACTGTTTCATCACAGATTGACGAGTTTAATTCCG